TGCGTATAGCGAAAAACGCATATAGCCACCGCGCGCGGCGTCGACGGAGGAAGCGCCGACGAGACAAACGGCTTGGAGGATAAAATTATTTCGACCACGGATTAAACGAGGTGAATCGTGGGCCGCTACCGTTTGCGGCACACAGCGGTATACATACGAAAGAAAAATATCGTCGAGATTCCGCGAGTAGCAGCTACGAAATAAACGGCCCAGGTGCCAGCTAGAGCCGCCGCGGTTGTAGGAGGAGGATGCGCGACTCGAGGTGGGCGAAAGCTGATAAATAACCTCTGCTTTATTAGCAAGATACACCACGAAGTAGAGAGAGAGAGCGGTTAAATTAGCGAGAATATTAGCACACATTTGCGCCGCTCGCGCGCTGCTGAAATGATGCGCGTGAACATTAGTGCGCGACGCGAAGAACGATGGCTTTGCGGATGTAATGGTTCTCAAACAAGAAAATTAAGTTATTTAGCTATCAAATAAGAAGATGCAATTCTTCTTGAATGAGCAATTATTAATTTAAACGCAGTTTACAATCGCGCTCTACAATGTCAGCATAGTCATTTGAATTATATTATAGGTCTACTTATATCTACCTGCTAATTTTACAATTTAAAGAGGTAGACTTGCACGTCATTTTCATCCGTTTCACTTTCCAGCATTTCTAATTGTAATATCTAAGTAATCGTTCGCACATTCTCGCACACACGTGAGTATAGTTTCTTCCCTACGCTGATTCTGTACGTGCGATTTTTAGACGCAAGTTAGATAGAGATATGTGCACGCTTGTATACATATAAGCCACGGAGAGCTGCACACAGTAACAAGCTGGCAACGGTTCTAACTACTGTCCAGGCTGATATATGTGACGGAAAATTGTGGACGAAGGGTGAAAATGAGAGTGAGAGAGAACGAGAGAAAGCGTCCGGGGGAATGGTCGTTCCTCCTCCTCAACGCACGTAGATGTTTCTCGGCTATTTTATTTACGAATTATTTCATTTGTCCACCGTATGCTAATTAGAGCAGCCATTTCTGAGCCGCCGTCGCCACTATTCTCTATAGTCGTCGTGGTCGTAGGTGCTTTCCCTTGTCCAGCCAACGTTGTGAGACGCGCGCGGGGGCAACGGCTATGCTCTAATTGCATTACGGAAACATGAGTTTCCTCCAGCGAAATATATCGCGAAACTTATCGCGCCGCGAAGAAATTGCCATGCCATGGGCTCACTCGTATGCACTTCGGGCGCAAGTGCAAGCCTCGTAAGCTCCAAAGTCCGTCTACGTCGCGCACCCTTATATACCTGCCCACCCACGTGAATCGTACATCACGACGCGCACTTTCGTCTCGGCATGCAAAAAAAAAACGCGAGTGCAGGTTTGTCTTCTCTTCATCTATTCCCTTTTTCACTCGAGACGGTTCCTCGTCGTCTCGAAAAGAAGGCCAATACGCGGAGGAAGATCAAAATCGAGCAGCCATTTTGAGCTTTGTTGTAGAAAGAAAGATAGAGTTGGTTGCTGGGAGGAAAAAAATAGTGTTGCAAGAAACGACGTGTGACACGAAATCTCTCTCTCTCTCGAAATCTTAATATGTAGAAAATATCGATATCTTTTTTTCAATATCATTACTCCTTATTGTTATTAAACTGCATAGAAATACTTATGGGCACCATTCATAATGCTATTAATTGAGCCGAAAATAAATTAAAATTTGCTTCCATTCGCGCAGTGAGATTTATAAGAAAATACATTTTCTGACGTAAATTTTGGCAGAAATATCTGAGAAATGCTGACACGTTGAAAAATACCGAATGTAAACAACGAGCTCTTGCCAAATGTTCCAGGTCCACCCCTCTTTTCCGATCGTCGACACAATTAGCACCGTTCGCACGACGACGAAACGTTGCAATTCCGTAATTACCGCGGCTTTGCGTGGGTGTCCAGAAACGCAATGGAAATAAATATAAACGACGCGCAGCGTCGCGCCGCGCGGTTGGCTGCACCGCAGCGTCAACTTCGTGGATCGCTACCGGTAGGTCCTCCTTAAACTTGATTTATGCTCAATTACCGTAATCCTCCGTCCTCGCATCCACCTCGTTCCCGCTTGTTATAAGCCAACGCGAAACGTTCGCGAATGTCGCGACGATTTTATTTATATGCGCCGCAAGCCAACCAGCCACGTCTTTACAGCGGCGCAACAGGAAGAAGAAAAAAAAAGAAAAAAAAATGAAAGAGAGAGAGAGAGAGAGAAAGAGAAAAGTGAAGAAGATGCTTCGCATATTCCGTCGTGTACCGATGTAATTCGTTTCGTATTTTATATCTGGCCACAAGTCGGTCCACCTTTCCCTGCATCCCCCGAATCCCCTCTGCCAATTCCGTCAATGTGTCGAGTATGCACGCTCGCGCTTAATTCATCCCCGTGGAACGACGGCAACCTGGATTATTTCGATCTTCGCTCCCGCTAAAGTTAGCCAAAGAGATTACTGCGGCGCGACATGATTTCATCCACGGGAGACGAGGAGAGAAGAGGCGGTTTGTGATGCGACTAGGTCGTTTAAATATCACGGTAAACAGGGCCCGCAGTAATTCGGATGACGGCGCAGGTGCCACGCGGAAACATCTATCAAGATGGCGAGATTGAGGGTACTGCAAGATTCGGCCCATTCCCCGTTAGGAGAAAGGGCGGAAGGAAGACCAAGGTGGGGTGGATCAACTCGAAGAAACGGGGGATTTCTCTCTCTCTCTCTCTCAGCGGGACAGAAAGGACTAAGCTTTCACAGAACGGCTCTCCACGTCGTCTTAACCCTTTCCAGCTAATACCGGATCGCATGGAATTAACGGTCGCGACGACGATCGTGTCCTCGAAAACCTGTCCTCGAAGTAATGCGGTTGGCTGTCTAATAATTTACGAGTTACAAAAATATCGTGAGAAACTTTATCGAAAAGCGATTGCGTCATCGTGAAAAATAGAAATTGGAGAAATCCGTAGAATATGAAATGCAAGAATGTTACATTATTTTTGCATCTATAGTAATGACTTTTAAACTTATACGCTTGTGTTCTACGGAATCATTCATAAGGTTCAAAAATAACGTGCTTCGTAAGTTCATCAAAAATATAATATCGACGCAAGAAAATATAGATCATCATAAGTTACGTATCTACAGTTTTATTTTTCTCCTTTTAGATAATAATTTATCTGCAGAGAATTAAAATACACTTTGCCGTGTAATAATTTACAAACAACACCCAAAATATCACAATTAATTGCTTGAACGTTTGTCAACAAATAACTGTTAGGCAAAGTAAAATAAGGACTTGAGAAGGAAACTATTCTATTATGGTAAGCGGAACAATATCTCGGAATAATTAACTTGGATGTCGTTGCATAAGTAATACATGTAAGGCGTAAGCAATACATGAAAGTCTACGCAAAATAAAAAGTGTATGCTAAATTTATTATTAAGAAACGTAATTTGCACGTACCAATTTGATTTATTAACAATTACCACTACGATATATGCTAAATTTCGTAGCAATTTTTTGTTTTTTTTTTCTTTGTCTTTTTTTACTTGTCTATTTTTAACTATCTGTATGAATATTTTATGATTTACACTCCGTATCTCTGTTCGTATCCATCACGATACCTACGGATTGCCTGTGTTAAACGATTTGCGGACCATAAATATGCGCTCCAATCGTTAATGTAATTGCCAGTGCAATCGTGTCGCAACTTATGGGTCACATCCTGCAGCGACAACGTCTTCACGAAATGTCTTCGAATGCGAATGGTTCTACCTACTGCTTGTGAGTCATCGAAATGTTGGACATCTCCATAACAAGTTATACATTATACTACCTTCGTAAAAATTAAGATAATTAGAATGCTCAAAGATAACAGCAATAAAGATGTATATACAATATACATAAAAAAAAGTAAAGATGCAATGTATTAAAATATCAATTCTATTAGCCTTTTAAAATCTAAATACAAGTTATTACGGATTTATATTAGTCTTTTAAAATAACTAACATATTATCTTAATAATTCTTGTTAATTTTATAAAAATTCTGTCTTTCTATATTAAAACACGGTTAAACAACGGATTCTGGAAATCCCAACAAATACAAAATTCGTTCATCGAGATTATATAACTGTCGTAATACTGCGCTACATAACAATGACGCACGCGTCAGAGCAAATGTAAACCGAAGTCACGAAACTACAGTTACAATTACAATCAGAGCTTCCTTGAGGTTATGGAAAAACACAAATTACGGAAATCAGTTCGCCTGTTTGACTCGCTGACACGCATACCGCCTACCGTCGCCGTTTGTACTCGCGTGATTGGCGCGCTGAAATAATCAGCTCGTTGCAACGTCAACGTGCAATCGCTGGAGCCGAGCCCCGCTCGTGCACGCCTCGTTCCGTTTGATGTACGGGCGTAATTTCAGGGTGTCTGGAATTCGCATATGACACGTGCGACGTGCCGTATGATTCGACGCCCGTTCGCCGCTCTCATGCCCGCCGGTCTAGAAAAAGTTTCTCTCGCTTGGCACGCATGCAGCGAGCTTTCGATCGTCGTCGCTTAGGAAGATTCGATATCATGATCGAGAGATAAAAGACAGATAAAAGATAAATTTGTTTACATTTGCGAATATGCAAAAATCTGAATAATCTCTACAAAATTCCCGCTTGCCATGTATATTTGGTAACGAATGTTTGAAATGAAGTGAGTACATTTCAAATTCTAGAGCAATGTAGTTTTCATTCTGTAATATATTCTAAATTTATATAATGAATTTTTTCAATCGCTTTAATATTAAAGTTGGGAAAGACAATCACAAATTAAAAAATTCGCGTATATTAAATTATTGAAAAAATAAAAACTTTCAATTGATTTCTTCATGAAATTTTTCTTCATAAAAATAATATTCAATTTTCTGGCGCCTGACAATTATAACTATGCGTGGTAAATGTAAAATGTAAGAGATAACGTACTCACCAATTATTAACTTGAAGAATCGTCAACCCCGTGTCCTGAGCCAACTGTTTTTTCTGGTCTTCCGAGGGATATGGATGCTGTAAACAGAAAAAGTAAATCTGCTCAATTAGCAATGAAATTGAGTATAAACGATCTCGCATACTCAAGTAACCATTAATACGACGGAAGTAAAAAACTCAGGTACCAATTAGCGCGAAATTGCCGGCAAAAATTGCAATTATTTCATATTAGTACAGAACAGTTGCGTTGAGCGTAATAATTAGCGGACATAAAATACAAGGGTAAATAAAAGAATTTCCTTTTTCTCACTCTCACTCTACCGTCACTTTGCTGTTTCGCATCTCGCCGACGAACGTGTGGCGGCTTTTTAAATAATTTATCAAGTGATTTATTGCACACTACGATAAATATATAGAATACACAATGCGCCGCGTGCGCTGACTTTTATCTGCTTGATGACCCACGCATTGCGCTGTATCGTCTAAATGCACCTGCGAAATATTATTTATTGCTGGTCAACAAAATTAAAAAAAAAAACAAGCATAGAAAGAGGAACAAGAGGAGGCGGTGAAAGAGACAGCAGAGTGCGGGCAAAAAGTTCCTTTTATATATCGCGCGTTCCGACGACCGCTTTTTATCGCGCGATTGCATCGATGCAGATGTACTTGGCTATGCCAAAATGATGGGCCAAGCACGACACGCTCCTACGTATTGCTCCTCTTTCCTAAAAGAGGAACTATACGAAAGAACACCGAAGAAATGCAAGGATGCTGACGTAGTACAAAAGACTTTTTTAATTTTTAAAATCTTATGTTGTTTTTATATATTAATTGAATCAAATTTGTAATTTATTTTGTATTTTTGCGCATCAATTTCCGCGCCTGACTCCTGTTGCCCTTTTTCTCATTATTGTATTGTTTTGAACGTTGAGAAGTCTTTATTATTAATTTTTATTTTTTATATTTGTATATTATTGTAAAATAAATTATTGAAAGAGATAAAACTGTTTATTTAGATAAAAATGTTAAAATTAAATTAAACCAATAATAGTACGCAAAAATAATTGCAGTATCCTATACGTATAGGTACACACCGCGCGCACACATATATATACATGTATATAAAAATTACTTTTCTGTATCATTAAATTTTTAATATCTCGTACCTATCGTATGAAATTTAGACAGGTAAATTATAATTGTTTCCGTTTGCCAAATATTCCATGTATTCAATGTTGTGCTATGTAAGCCTATATAAATTTACATGCAGAGTTTTAGACGAGTTTTCTTTCAGAAAAGATACTACACGTAATCGCAGAAAGAACAGAATCTTTCCGACATTATTACGCATTCAATCCTATGCTAAGCTTTTAAAGGATGTATGACACGCACATGCAACGTTGCGCATCTGCATTTTACGTTAAGCTCGCAATACCTTTGTTTTCGCATATTAACTTTCGTTAGAGTTTAAATTTTTTTTTTATGTAACACATCGGCAATCGCATTAAATAATCGTAATAATAAAACCAAATTAATTAATTCGCTAGTATTAATTTTAATAAGCAATCACATACTTTTTTTAGTCTAAAAAACATCTTTGTTTTATAATTAGAGAAGAACAGAGAAATAGTAAACATTTACTTAAACGGGATAAAATTTTTGCGGTTGGAATTGAATAGTACTTATAGAAAAGCATAAAAAAAATGTGCACGCGATGTATGGAAAACAGGCACCACTCGATTACGTTATATCTAATAAGACGTATTAATATTGATACATCTCAATTTTAATCTCGTATATTGCAATTATGAAATTAGACGAATGTAATCGTCAGAAGTAAACAGTCCGCCGACAGTTGCATTCCCAATGGAGACGTTTCTTCCGAAAACTATCCGCGACACGCGAGGGACACGTAAGTTAATTTTGCAATGTAGAAGAAAATTGAAAAAAATGTCATCTACCTTCTATTAAAAAATACTTTAGCATTGGTTTTATTGCTTTACATTTAACTTCCAAGATACAATTACAAAACATATTCAAAGGTATAATCGCATTTATCGTAGACCCCCTATGATACATTTACATATATAAAATTCAATATATTCATAAAATTAACGTTATGCAGTTTACGCAACCGACGATGCTCGTTCTGTGCCAAGTTATTGACTGTACGAAAGGATCCGAGTACGCATAAAAGCCAGCGGCTGCATCACAAGCGAACAAACCGCATTATATTTTTACATAATTAGCACGTGGCGCCCGCGATATTACATCCTCTCTCCCTTTCGCTCTCGATCGTTACTTTTTACCGAAGCTTGCGGTATTTTTGGATACTGCCGCAGCCCACAAATCCATCCCCCAAGCCCCTCCTCAACCGACGCTGTATCATGTTTCTTGGAGGCGAGCCACGGTATATACATACATCAGAAGCGTGGCTCCGTTCCTCACCCGCCATCCCCGGTGCACCCCATTGTGCGCCGGTGTATATCCGATCCGAGCGATTCTTATCCTAATTAAATCGGCTGAGCGTATTGTCTGGGCGTAGAGTTTCCATCGGATCTCCGTGGATATCTAACGCCGCGTATAAAGCCGCGTTGAGCGGAGGATTGAGACGATGGCGCGGGCGCGGAGTCTCCGAGAGTATCGTAACGATCCAACGGGAATCGATGCACGCTAAATTGCAGATTCAAACGACACGATCAACGTACATATATGGTAATATCGGCGATAGGCCGATTGGTAAGATGTGCGAATTTCATTTGATTATCGAAATTCAAATCAACTTACTGTATACATAGATGTATGTATATCTCATTGTCAGTTAATTTCCCCTTATTTTCCGTATAGTGATACAAATGATTAAATGTTAATATATTTCGCAAGAATTTATATCGATACGAATCGTAAATACCTAGGTGCAAAGTATGCATTATTTTTAACAAACATGTACACAATGTAATTTGAATGTCATTAAATTTGTATTATAAATGTGATGAAACAATCATGTATCTTACACTCATCGATCAACTCTCATCGATATTAAATAATCTCTGAGTCAGAAATATACAACATTTCATAAAGCGATACCACAGTTTCTCTTTACGGTTCGACCTTCTCCAGAGATAAGTTGCTCGTAGGTTCGTTGGTGTATGCATAAAACAATCAAGATAATTGTCGAAGCTATGTGGGGACTGCCTGCTTTCCACCCTCCATACAATTCGAGATAGCTGCTGCAAACGAAGGAGGAAGCAATGCTTGAGGAAGGGAGATGGAAAGCAGAAGCTATCCAATTACATTGAAAACAATAGTCTTAAGTGCTCGTGGCGGTCCGTTCTAGGTTACTCTCGATCCTGTAATGTTGATGCTTTTCCACGATGGTTTCTCGCTCTAGACAGCGTTACATTGTCGTGGCGACGCGTACGTTTGATTTCAAACAAAAGATTTTTATTCCATCCACTACGTGATAACATACTTTTGGCTCTTATTTCTCAAAGTCTTTTCATCATATTATTGAATATTCATAATACAAATGTTTATTTACGTTTAATATTTATATGCAAAACTGTTCAATACATTATTTATTTTCAATATCCTGTTAAATAATACGTATATGTATATATATATATATATATATATATATATATGTGTGTGTGTGTGTGTGTGTGTGTGTACTACATATATTTTAAAATTTACGGTGATATCATAGTGGCATCGATGATAAAATCGATTGTTTCTATCCCGTTTGGTTCTATCCCTTCATCGAATACAAATCCAAGACGAAAACGAGAGAAGAAGGAAAGATAGAATGAAATGCGCCACGTTGCAACAGCACGATTCAGTGGCCAAACAAGCGATAAAATGAAAATGAGCGGTAAAAAGACAATATGAAAACCATTTAGGTTTTCCCGAGGGTTGGGGCAAGAACGAGCGAGGCGGAAGCGGGGCTAAGTGTGTAAATGAGTCCGTAGTTTAGCCCGATTGCCTCTAGACGACCCCTTTCCGCGGTGCGCAAACCTCATCCACGGCTCGCTACCCTGATAGCAGCACCAGTATAGCTGAAATAACCGTAGTCTTCCTGAGGAGCAAACTGCTCCCTAAGACAATTCTCGAGACAATGAGATCGTTCGTAGCCCGAATTCAAATCAGTACAAATAGACGATGGATTAAATGTCTATATTAGATGCGGAGCCGTTTCTTAAATTGATAGCTGCTCCGGACCATTTTCCAGGACCATTTTCGAAATTATTCAATTACGATACTAAATTGAATAACGTATCTAAACCTATCGATATAACACAAAATTGACCTATTCATTCGCAATAATTTACAAACTGTATATCAGCCAAATTTTATAATACTCATTCGCGTTTAAGAAGTTATATAAAATAAAAATAATAATACAAATCTGCATACACATTTTGTTACAACATAATTAATTCTATTTCTTTATGATGTAAGAGTATACATGTTACAATTGACCTAATTTCATGAGCGAGAGCATAACAGACGTTTAATCACGTATCAAAAGGATAGACGCTGTTACAGGAGCTCTTTCAGCATCCTATTCGCGCACTGATCCGTAATTTTACTCGCAACGTTCCCGCGAGCGTGACAATTTGCTGGCGCATCGATTCGATGACGGGAACCGCGCGCGTGCTGCGTCAGGTCGTCGATGTTGGGACGGGTGGATGGATGCACATTGAAGCTCTTCCTGGCTTGGCCTGGCCTGGCCTGGCCTGGCCTCGTGTCTCTTCGTGTCCTTCGTAGCTCCGGGATGTTACCCCACCCCGTGATAACCGGGGCTCTCAGTGCCGAATGACACGTCGATGACGACCGCTGCTGACTCCGGCTAACGAGCGGGGCGTTGAGGGCGTGGGAGCCACCAGAGATCGCGCCTCGTCATCACGCGCCTCCAAGTCCCCTCTTCCGCCTTGCGTCCAGAGAGAATTCATGTCGAGAGGATGAGGTCACAAAGTCCGAAGAGGTCACTACGGGTGGCTACATCGATTTCACGTCACCCCGATCATCGGATCGTGCGGATCGACCGACTGAAGCAAGAGAGAATCGAGTAGAATCCT